GACTCCATGTAACAGAAAAGAACTGTCCCATAGAGATTTCTAGGCTATAATCTTTTTTTTTTAATTGTTACTGTGATTTGGTTGGAAGTTTACAGAGCAAATTCATTTTCCATACAGCAATTCACATACACTTTGTCTCATGACATTGATTGCAGTTTCCCACAGTGCATCAGCTCTCTTCCCACTTCCTCCCCATAGTCACCTCTTCCCTGTGTCCATCCCTCCATGTACTCCTGCCTCCTGAGCTGTCTCCTTGTGCATAAGCAGCCCTTCTGTTCTTCCATGATTGATCTCTCCAGGGAGTGTATCTACCTAATGTAAATGTTCATCTCATATGCCTGTCTTGTTTGGCTGGAGACCATAGGAATGGGTTCAGTTCAAGGACTGTGCTTTTTTACTTGTCAACTTTGGGCTTGTCAGCCTCAGCAGCCAACAGCTAGCTGTCTTAGGGAAGAAAAGCCTCCAGTTTCAGGAGGCAGAGCTGAAGCCCAAAGTGGAGAGGCTTTCACCCAGCCCCTAGAGCCTGGCCCTTTGAACTCAGACTTAAAGCCTTCAAACTCGTAAGAGAATAAACTCCTGTTTGTTAAAGTCATCCCATTGTGGTATATTCCTCAGAGCGGCACTCGGTAACCAGAACATTTCTTTTACAACAAAAAGAAGATTATGATAAATTTTGCAATCGACAGGGTTTTGTCTACAGGTAGGGCAGAACCAGAGTTCCAGGTCAGAGCAAGCACGAGTGCAGAGTCACCTTGGGGGGACCATATAAAGGCGGGGGGTTGTGGTTACACTGTGGCCCTGGTGAATGTCATTTAATCCTGGTTGCTGCTTGTTTCTCATCCTGCAGTGTGGGCCAAACTGAAACTGCAGAAGGCTTCAGAGCGATGGCAGCCCGACACTGAGGTGGGTGCTAATGTAGGGGATTGGGATCTGGGAGCATCAAATGACAGATCGGTTTCACCATGTGGAAGGGAAGAGGAGATGGTCTCTTGATCATGGTGGTAACTAGCATAATGTGGCAGTATCAGTAATGTGGCTTTTGACATGTAAGCCTAATTCATTTCTGACATTTAATTTGTCCTACTATAAATCTGTGTCTTAAAATATGTTGTATTCTCCTGAAAATTTTTACACTAGTAAGTAGGAGTACCCAATCTTTAGTCCTACCACAGGGTTTTGTTCATAAGGCAAGAAGTGAGGAGCCCTTACTGTGCATTACATCTCCTTTGAGGAGACCATCTAATGAGAGGTGATTCTGCTAGAGGTGGGGAGGCTTCCTTGTTGGTCTTAAGAATAATCTCTGTCCCATAGAGATTTCTAGGATATAATCTAGCAACTCCCCCCAAGTTCTACAGTGTTGGGCAACTGGTTCCCTTCCTCTTAGGTGAGTGGTTCTCAGCATTTCTTTTTTTAAGCAGCAAACCCTTTTGTAGACAGACTGTGATGTGAAACTGCAATATAGAAACTAGAATAAAGCAGAGCTTCTCTGTGGGAACCCTCAGTCTTTTTGGCTTCCCTATCAACCTGTGCAGTGTCCTCTTAGGCAGAAACTTGAAAATGCTTTGAAAACTTGTCTTAGATCAGCCTATCTTAACTAACATTTCTCATCTGAAA